TTGAGAGGGAGAAGCAACACAGAGAGGTAGAGGTAAGAAAGAAAGGAGATACTAGGAGAGAAGAAAGGAGAGGGAGAGAAGACCAAAAAAATAAAAAATAAAAAAGGAAAAAATGAATAATAATACTGAAGGAGAATAAAGTTGGAGGACTGATACCATCTGACTTCAGACTTACTGTAAAAATGTAGTAATGAAGACAGTGTGGTATTGGGGTGAAAGAACAGACAAATAGATGGAGCAGAATAGAGAGCCCAGGAATTGACTCATATAAATACAGTCAAGAGATTTTTGACAAAGTGGCAAAGGCAATCCAAGGGAGAAAAAGATAGTCTTTTCAACAAATGGTGCTGGAACAAGTGGACATTCACATGCAAAAAATAAATCTAGACACAGACCTATACCCTTCAAAAAATTAACTTGATATGGATCACAGACTTAAATTAAAATGTAAAACTATAAAACTCCTAGAAGATAACATAGGAGAAAACCTAGATGACCTTGAGTAAAGTGATGCTGTTTTAGGTTAATACCAAAGGCATGATCCATGAAAGAAATAATTGATAAGCTGAACTTCCATTAAAATTAAACATTTCTGGGGATTTCCCTGGCAGTCCAGTGGTTAAGACTCTGCGTTTCCACTGCAGGGGGGCGTGGTTTTGATCCCTGGTGGGGGAACTAAGATCCCACATGCCATGTGGTGCGGCCAAAAAAATAAATAAAATAAATCAGGGATGGAAGCCTAATGAGACACAAAAATGAGAAGAAGTGAAACAAAATTAAACACCTCTGCTCTGTGAAAGAAACTGTCAAGAGAGTAAGAAGACAAGCCACAGACTGGGAGAAAATATTTGCAAAAGACACATCTAATAAAGGACTGTTATCTAAAATATACAAAGAACTCTTAAAACTTAACAGTAAGAAAACAATCATATTTTAAAATATCCAAATAACAGGTACATGAAAATGTGCTCAACATCACTAATCATCACAGGAATGCAAATCAATGCCACAATGAGATATCACCTCATACCTGCTGAATGGCTATTATCAAAAAGGTAAGAGATAATAAGTGTTGGTGAGAATGTGGAGAAAAGGAAACCCTTGTGCACTGTTGGCAGGAATGTAAATTGGTACAACCACTATGAAAAACAGTATGGAGGTTCTTCTAAAAATTAAAAAGTAGAACAGAATTACCATATAATCCAGCAATCTCACTTCTGGGTACATATATCTCTGAAGGAAATGAAATCACTGTCTTAAAGAGATGTCAGCATTCTCATTTTCAATGCAGCATTATTCACAATAGCCAAGACGTGGGAGCAACCTAAGTTTCATCATCAGGTGAATGAATGAAGAAAATGTGGTGTGTGTGTATACACACCCCCCCACACAGGGAATATTATTCAGCCATAAAAAAGAAGGAAATCCTTCTATTTTCAACAACATGGATGACCTTGGGGGTATTATGGTAAGTGAAATAAGTCAGACAGACAAATACTATATGATACAAATACTCACTTAAATGTGGAATCTAAAAAAAAAAAAAAGGACTCATAGAGATAGAGAACAGATTGGTGGTGGCCAGAAGCAGAGGATGGGAGGTAGGGGAAATGGGTGTAGGTGATCAAAAGGCACAAACTTCCAGTTATAAGTTCTGGGGATGTAATGTATAAGTTCTGGGGATGTAATTGTAGTTAACAATGGTGTTTTGTACATTTGAAATTTGCTAAGAGAGTAGATCTTAGAAGTTCTCATCACAAGGAAATAAATTGTAACTGTGTGAGGTGAGGGATATTAACTAAGCTTATTGTGGTAATCATTGTGCAGTATTTACATACATCAAGTCATTATGTTGTATACCATAAACTAATACAATGTTATATATCAATTACATCTCAACAAAACTGGAAAAAAAAGATGCTCTACATCATATGTCATTAGGGAACTGCAGATTAAAACAACAGCAAGGTACCACTACAAGCCCATTAGAATAGCCAAAATCCAAAACACTGACGACACCAAATGCTAGTAAGGATGTGAAGCAACAGGAACTCTCATTTCTGGTGGGACTGCAAAATCGTACAGTCACTTTGGAAGACAGTTTGGCAGTTTCTTATAAAACTAAACACACTCTTACCATATGACTCAGCAATGATGCTCCTTGGTATCTACCCAAAAGAGCTGAAAACTTATGTCCACAAAGAAGCCCGTACAGGAATGTTTATAGCAGCTTTATTCATAATTGCCAAAACCTGGAAGCAACCAAGATGTCCTTTACTGGGTAAATGGATAAACTGTACTACATCTATACAATGGAATGTTTGTCATTCAGCACTAAAAAGAAATGACTACCAAACAATGAAAAGACGTGGAAGAACCTTAAATGCACACTAAGCAAAGGAAGCCAATCTGAAAAGGCTACATACTAGATCATTCTAACTACGTGACATTCTGTAAAAGGCAAAACTATGGAGAGTTAAAAAAATAAAAATCAGTGGTTACCAAAGGTTATGGAGGAAGGAAGGATGTGTAGAGGCCCGAGGAGTTTTAGGAAGTGCAACTACTCTGTATGATACTATAATGGTGGATACATACCTTCTGCATTTGTCCAAGCTCATAAGATGTACAACACCAACAGTGAACCCCCATGTGTAAACTGTGGCCTTTGGGTTCTAATAATGTGTCAGTGTAGGTTCATCAATTGTAATAAATGTACCATTCTGGTGAGAGATGTTGAGAAGGGGGGAGGCTGTGTACGGGGCAGGGAGTGTTTGGGAAATCTCTGTACAAATCTCTGCCAATTTTGCTGTGAACTTAAAACTGTTCTCAAAAACACATTAAAAAAAAGTTAAAAATGAATAATTGAGCAAAGCAAAGAAAGAGAAAAAAAGTAAAAGACCTTCACTGGTGACCTTCAAAGTTCACTTCAAACCATCTTTGCAGCCCCGGGTCTCAGCCTTCTAAGACCTGGACAGAGAGCGGGGCACGCCCCCAGCGTTATGCGAGAGGCGAGGAGAGGGGGTGGTCTAGGCCTGGCCTGAGCCTCTTACCGGTGGCTGGCGGCGGGAATTACCCGCGAAGCTCTGAAAAACAGGAATGCTCGGGCCCCACAGCGCACCAGCTGAGCAGCGTCCAGCTCTGCGGAGTTGAAAAGCGCTCCAGTTCATCCTAACGTGCAGGCGGAGCTGAGAATCGCCATGAGAGAGCGGCGGCAGGTGGGGTCGCGGGTCAAGGTCCGATAGGAAAAAGAAACCTTCCTGGGAGAAGGATGCGCCCTCCGCCCCGTCCCTCAGTGCGGTCACATTCTTGGATGTTCACTCCAGCCGCGCGCTTCCCAGGGGCCTGCGGCCAGATGCCACACTCTCAGCAGCTCTCACCTCAAGAACAGGTGTCCCCGGGGCAGGTGCGCTCACCTTCTGCCCCGGGAGGAAGGAGACCGAGTCCGTGACTGGGGCCGACAGCGCGCCCCGCCCCGTGTAACAATCCAGTCCCGGGAGCCACGTGCGGGCTCCGCGAAGGGCTTGGTCACATTTCCCACTCTATTGGCGCGAAGCGGGCGATTACACCAATTCGGACTTCACTTTGGTGACACGAATACGGATGGGTGTGACCACGTATTCTTCGAAGGGAGTTTTCTCCTATACCTCCTAACTGACCACCCTTAAAACTAAAAACAAGCAAGCACACACATTGAAAAACACACACAAAAAAGGCGCGCGCGCGTGAACGAGCACACATACAAGTGGATCCAGCGCCTGTCCAACGCCAGGCAGGTGGCTTTCGGGTTCCCGGTGGCCATGGCACCCACGGCCTCCGCGCACCCCCCACCCCCCGCGCCTCCGCACCTAGCTCTCCTGGCCAGCTCGGCCCTCGGTAGCCCGAGAAACTGACTTGGGGACCGAATACCTTGGGGACACACGCGGAGGGAGCACCGCCTCCGCCCCGCCACGGAATCCCCGCTCCGGGCCCCTGTCCCACACCCGCCACTCCGTGCCGCCGGCGCTCGTGGAGCGCTTGTCCTGGGAAGGCGGGGGACCGGAAACGTTTGACCCCGGCGCGGGCCGCCCGCCCGCATGCACGCACGCACGCCGGTCTACAGACTCTCTGGCCCTTTAAGGCGGATTTTTTCGCCGTCGACCTGGGGGCGGGGAAAGCGTCGCGCGCACCAGGCGGGGGCCGCCTCCCGAGCCGTAAGTGGAGGCGACGCGGTGCGGCGGACCCTAGGGTGTGGCGGGCCAGCGCCGCTGGAGGGGGCCTCCTCTCCAAGCTCCCGCCCCTACCTCGCCAGTTCCCGCAGCTGCGGGGCCCGCGGGAAGGACGTGCGTACCTGTCGGCCCTTCAGTGGGGCGGGCGGGGGGGCAGGTTGGGCGACTCTGGGGAGGCCTCCGAGCCGCGGATGCCCGAGTCCACGCGGACCCGGGGCCTCGCTACCCGCGAGCGCCTCGGAATCCACGAGTGTCTTTCACTTTCAGTCTCCAGGAAATGGAACTGCGTCGACCGTGTAGCTCCAGCTGGTGTCGTAAAGCAGGATAATCATACCGTTAACCCCCAGTTTAAGTTTAGGTTCGAGTCCGTGGTGGTCGCAATTGAACGCACCGATTTAGAGGGAGTGAGGGAAGAACAAAACACGAAAATATGCCCTGCAGACCGCAGCGGGTTGCAGCCGCAGTCCACGCGGGCCCGGGCAGTTTAGGAAGCGGTACTTTCTCCGCGGCCCCGGGCTGTCACTTCCGCCTCGCTCACTCTTAGCACGCTGCAAATTCCCTGAGTGGTTACAGCTGAGTGCATAGCCATCCCGTACCTTTGGCATGAATTCCCAGCAAAATCTCACTTGCCAGGAGAGCCAGGCAAAAGAAATTAGACAAAGGCTTCCCGCAACCCCGTTTCTTTTGAACTTGTAAAACGGCCTTAAGAAGCATTTGGAGCTACTAGAGAGATAATGCATTTTCTGGCTAGAACCTCACTCAGGATTCTTTTGCCTCACAGCTTTGAGCGAGCAGAGAGCTGGGCGCGGGCGAGATGGCCCTGGTGCCCTATGAAGAGACCGCGGAAAAGGGGCTGCAGAGATTTCACAAGCCTCTTGCCACCTTCTCCTTGGCAAACCACACGATACAGATCCGGCAGGACTGGAAGCAACTGGGAGTGGCAGCGGTGGTTTGGGACGCGGTAAGTAAGCCCCCGGGGGCCTCTGAGCATCAGCCATTGATTATAAGACTGGTCTTTATTTTTAAAAAGTAACAGCTTTATTGGGTTGTAATTATATACCGTACATTTCACCTATTTAAAGTGTGTGTGTGTGTGTGTGTGTGTGTGTGTGTTTAAGTTCAGAGTGGTGCAACTATCTATCACTACTGCTCAATTTTAAAACATTGCATCACTCCACCCCTTCCAAAAAAAAAAGCCCTACCCATTAGAATCACTTCCCTGCTCCCTCCCCACCAAATAGATTGCATTTTAAGGGTGAATAAAGAAAACTGAAAGACATTAAATGACTTACCAGTAATTTACCCAGCACGGAAGAGGGAGGACTGGGGCCCCTAGCTGCTTTGGACAATTATTCAGTTAGTTTTTAAGTTTAACAGTTTTGCACAAAGAATATTGTAAACTGACAAAGCCGAAAATGAAGATTATGTGTTTTCTTTAAGTTTTCCATAGTTATAAGGATCAAAAATTATACTATAATTGCTGCTTTACTTTTTTGTCTCCCAGCACTGTTTTTTCAGCTGCTTGTGCCAGAGACTTGCCCTAAGCATCTAGCCACACCTGGGATTTGGTGGGAGCTCAGTGAATGTTGGATAAATGATTGGTGTAGATACAATTTTACAATCTTAATATTGTATCGGGGTGTTAGAGAAACACTTAGGAATAAAAGTCTTGACATATAGTAACCCGGTAATACCACTTCTAGGAATCTAGTCCAGGGTAACTACAAGAAAAGTTTTCTCAGAAAGAGTAATAAAGATACATAACAGTGAGGAATGGGCGAATCTCCTACATTCTCACCAAGAAGAGGAATTGCTAAGTATGCTAATAGTATGTGGCCATGAAAAACAAATTATATTTTAAAATCACGTTAACAGTATACAGTGATTTATAGAGTTATATGCAAATGCTAACTCACACATCAAGTCCAAACCTTTGGCTAAAACTTCCCTTTTGATGCCCAGCTCCTCTGGGATGACGAGCGTTAGGGACGCAGGAGAGTAGGAGAGAGGGAGGAAACTCCAGGAGCCTTGGCGCTGCTCTGCTTTTTCCCTTTGGTTGTGGCCTTGCTGAGTTGAACTTGGTTTAGGAACTAGACATTCCTTTAAGCAGAATCACAGAGACTGTTCATGTCAGCTCTACCAGAGTGATTTTATAAACCTCGAGTGTAAAAATGCTGTGACACAGTAAGAAATTAGCCTTCCCAGATTCAGCAGGCCCCTATCCTGGGTGGTCAGTGTCACTGACCACTGCTGTCCCCCGTAAGGGCCTGGGGCAGCTGTGCTGGGGAGCTCGGTGTCTGTGCTTGCTCCAGGTGACCTCCCAGCAGCAGCTGAGTTCCTCTGTGAGCTGTTACACTGAGAATTGAACCTTGCGGTGGGAGGGGGGTATGTGATGTCTTCTTGGAGTATGTAGCCTGCTTGAAACCCTTCAGGCCCTAAAGCACTTGTTGACCTAAACTGTCATGCTGTGTTTTGACTCAGGCTATCATTCTGGCCACATATCTGGAGATGGGAGCTGTGGAGCTCAGGGGCTGCTCTGCCGTGGAGCTGGGTGCTGGCACAGGGCTGGTGGGCATGGTGGCTGCCCTGCTGGGTGAGTGTGACGCGTGGATCACTCCTGTGTGAGTGGAACTCATGGAGGGGCACCTTTTCCTGACGCAGAGCTCATTGTTAGTTTCCCTCTTACTGTGTTACTTTTTTCCCCCGTACTTATTGTGAGTCACAGGCCAACTGCAGTGCTCTCAACTCTAGGAAGGCTAATTCTCTCTCTCTCTCTCATCCTATCATTTATACTTCTCACGGGAGATTGCTTTGCCCACTTCACTTCTGTGATGCCCATAATATGATCTTAAGGCAACTGAGTTCAAACAGAATTATCTTATTTGTGTACATAGCTTTTTACTGTTTAGGTGCTGTCTCTGTACTCTCGGATTTAACCCTAGGAGGTTGGGAGAGCAGATAGTCTCTTCATTGCTGAGGAAGCTTTGCTGGTTTTTTTCTTTAAGGGAGGGCTGGCCCCCCCCTGCAGTTTGTACTGACATCTGTTAAACAGTGTGCAGTTCTGAAATGATACCAAGGTTTGTCATTTTTTGCTTGGCATACAGACATTAGTTTAGGCCTAGAGTATTTTTAAGCTTCATTTCTATTTTATAATTCATTGTTGACTCTTTTCTACAACTTCCTGCTCATACATTTCAAGCTGTGCCTTGATTGGATAGACCAGCCTCTGACATACAATGTATAATATTCCCCACTTCAGTGTTGTCACCTGGAGCTCTTGATAAAATGCAGTTTCTGCTTCTGTAGGTCTGGGGTGGGGCCTGAGAGCCTGCATTTCTAACCAGCTCCCAGGTGATGATGATGATGCCGTAAATGCTGGTCCTCAGACCACACTTGGGTGGTCAGGATCTAGAGTTCCATCAAGTGTGTACAGGTACTTGAGCACCCACTAAAGCCCCGCTTTTGTCCTGTCCCTTTTCTGTTAACAGATCTTTTTCAGTATTCCTTTCTCTGTTTAGATTTTGCCTCCCAGGATTTGATGGGGAGCACGGGCAGGAGTGGTGGGTGGACGTGTGAACATGGAAACTGATGCAGGTCCATCTGTCTGACACCACAGCACTTTCAGCCACTGAGGAGGTCCTAGCCGATACACTACCTTTTGATCTCCTCAGGTTGACCTTGTATCGTCCCCATGTATGTTAGGTATATTTTTAATTTTCATTTTTCCAGTGAAGCTGGGATTCTGGGAGATTAAGCCACTTTCTGAAGTCCTGGTCAGTGGTGACCCGAGACTCAAACCAGGCTTGTGAGACACAGAGGCCGAGGTTCTTTTCTTTCCATGGCACTAAGTCCCGTCTCTGTGACGTTTGAGAGGACTTAGCTGGAAGGGGAAGTGAGGTTTCTTCAGTCTCCCCCTGAGAACAGGGCCTCCTCACTGCTGTCGAGACAGCAGAGCGTGGTGACCTGCAAAGGGTTAGAGGCCCACTTGGCTCTGACCTTTTTTTGTTTCAGTTTAATTTTATCGAAGCATAGTTGATTCACAGTGCCATGCCCACTTCTGCTGCATAGCAAGGCGACCCCGCCATGCATACACGCATTTTCCGTTACGGTCCATCACAGGATGCTGAATACAGTTAGTTCCCTGTGCTACACAGTAGGACTCTGCTGTCCATCCATTCCACATACAATAGTTTGGCATCTGCCAATCCCAAACTCCCAATACTTTTTCTTTCCCACCACCACGCCCTCAAATCCCCCAACCACAAGTCCACTCTCCACAGGCTCTGACCACCTTTAATTCTTACTAGCTATGTCACCTTGGGCAAGTTGCTGAATCTCTAAACTTCAGTTTCCCAGTAAACTGGGGATAATAACCATATTGACGGACCAACAAGGATCAAATGAGAGCATGCATAGAAATCTGTTAGCTCGCTGACTGGCACAAAGTAAATGCTCAACAAGTGTTCTCTGCATTTTCATTTCTGATCTAGAAATCTGGGTCTGTGGGCTTGGGAAAATCAGCATAAGGTTCTTCAAAGACCGTCACAGAGCGAAGGACTAGTTAATTGTTGCCACAAAAGATGGGGACTTTGGGAGGGGCGAGAACAGCAGAATGGCAGACGGTGTTCTTGTGGTTGCCCCAAAGCAGAATTAATTGCCCCCTTATTTCTCTTCCCCACAGCGCTCGGTGTTCTCTGCCCCAGCTCTGTCACATTTCACTTTAGACAGTTGTTTCATGTGTCTGTCTCTTCTGGCAGGCTGAGGCTCCTGAGGAATGGGGCTGTGTCTCATTCTGTGTGTCCTTGGCCCTAGTACAGCAGCTGGCACACAGTAGATACCCAAATAGTTCTGGAATAAGAGATGAACTAGAAAATCATGAAAATTACTGTTTCTGTTATAAAAATGATATATCTCTATTATAAAAATAGCCCTAGAAGCAGTCTAAAAAAAAGGAAAAACCCACCAAAGATTCTGCTTATTCATGACTCTGCAACATAATTACCATTAGCATTTTGGTATATTTCCTCCTATTCCTTTTCTCCATCTGTATTTTAATCATAGTTATAATCGTGATTCCATACGTGTGCCTATGTGAGTGCGTGTATATTTTCACATGTATATGATGTTTCATTTAACATGTCATGCACATTTCTCTGTGCTATGGCATGCTTTTCATGCTCATTATTTGTGGCTACAAAGTATTAGGCTGGAGAAATGTTGATGCTGAAACTTAAGAGTAAGAAAAAGTTAATCTCTTTAAAATGGAAACAGAACTAGAATAGGTAGTGCTTTGGAAATGTCAGAAAGAGGTTGATTGTTCCCCTTTTTAAACTATTTTCATTTTTTGTAACCTTACTCATTGATTCCCGACTCTGGGGAACACCCACCGTGTGCCTGTCACGTTTTTAGAGCAGCAGGTCACTGCTCTCAGGAAGCATCCATTCTAACTCTAACTGGGGCGAGAGGGGGGAAAAGACAAATTACATTAAAAAGCCTGCCCCCCAAGTGGTCAATGATATGCAGAATGTTAATCTAGGGTGATGAGATTTTCTTGTTAAAAGAAAAAACAGCTGCTAATTCCTGGGTGGTTCCTGTGTTCTGGGTGTTGTGTCTTTATGGCCTTCATCCTCACCACAACCCTGCATAGTAGGTCTACTTGGAGCTCTTTTCAAAGTGGCGAAATGGAGGCTTAATAGATGTCAAGTAACTTGCCCAAGGTCACAAGCTAATGGATTGTGGAGTTAGAATTTGAATCCAGTCTGACTCTCAAATCCTGGTTCTTCGTTTGAAAACCTCTTCAGCCTTTATACTACTTGAACACTATTCTTAGGAAAAAAAATCACATCTTAAAGACAGGGTTCTATAAGTTGGGTTGGGGTCAGGAATCTGGATTTTAAAAGCTTCCCAGGCGATTTGATGCCCAACCAAGTCTAAGGACCGCTGTCTTAAATATAATGCTCAGCAAGAAATGGTCTTTTAGGGGCTTCCCTGGTGGCGCAGTGGTTGAGAGTCCGCCTGGGGACACGGGTTCGTGCCCCGGTAATTCCAGTGCAAGTCTCCACTGAACTTTCAACTTGTACATTTAAATGAAAGCTGTTGATGTCTCTATGTGGCTATTGGTCAGCACGTGTTTAAACTTGAACTCTAATTCCCTTTCCAAACTTGTCCTTTCTCTTTTGTTCTGAGTTAGCATCACTATCCAAGTAGTCACTCAGGCCAACTCCTTGACCTGCCCTCCCCGCTGCCCCCCCC